AGTAGCCCTAATTAAATTTGCTATAAATAAATTTCCTATACGTAAGGTCGAAGTTATTCGTAAAGTAGAAGTCGTTAAGGAAGTCCCATTTACTACTATAATAAGTAATTTAGATACTATTCTTAACGTTGTCGCTACCGCCCTTAAAAAATATAAGCGTCTTTTAAAAAACTCTAACCTCTATTAAAGAAAAGTAATAGAGTAATTAAAAGTAGAATTATTGGATATACGCTGAAAATTTATTAAATTTTAAAAATTTTGTATCCGCTATATTTTTTATTAGTATTTACTATATATATACGCTATATTAATATTATACTTAATATTACTCCTTTTTGTATCGTTCGTTCTAATAATATATCACTTCGTAGTACGCTTAACTTTATTAATATATTGGATAAATTCGGTACTATAATTACCTATTCTACTAGTCGCTTCGATACTATACCGACTATTTACTTTCCGTATTTTAATAATATTATAGAGGATTAAAGGTAAGATAATTCCCCGCTTAGTCGTAAGCGTACATATTAAAATCTTTTTAAATTTAATAAAAATAATTTCGAATATAATAATAATGTTAATACTCGTTCGTTTCGTTGTAGTTACTACTAGGGATTTCCTCCGTCCTTACTATTTACGCTAATTATTTACTATTTTTCAATTTTCGTATTAAAATATTTTAATTATTGGAAATAATTATTGGTAGTCAAAGGTTATATAGGATATAAAAAGGATGGTTAATTAATAGTAAGTAAAGTAATAGTTCTTATTTTTTATTTTATGTTTAATAATAGTCTTAGTAGATAATAAGCACTCTTCTCCTTTCGTCAAGGGGGAGATATTATAAGATATTCTAAGTAGGTATTTAAATACCCTACTCTATTTTGGCATATGCTCTATTAAGCGTAGGATTATTTTGTCGAGTAGGATATATTATATAAGAGTACTCTCCCTATTAACTTCCGTTAAAATTAATTAGATTATTAATTTATATTATATTAACCTAATATCTATTTTACTTATACTCTATAAAGTTGTATACGAAGTCCTAGGTTAAAGCTCTCGATAATACTTGTCTTTAACTTCCTTTAATAAGATTATCGTCAACCGTTACACACTATTACTCTATCCAATAACCAATTACTTACTTTATCATTCTATATTAGTATCACTTATAAAGCATCGCTTCGCGTAACAAATACTAGACTGTATATTAGAAAGTAATAGTAATATTATATATCCTAGTATATACCGAGTCCTAGCAAGTTATAGTATATAAATTCTAGATTAGTTAGAGTATTATAAGCGCTATCATTAAAAACCTCTTACCTAAATTAATTGTACTTTATTAAAAATATATACGATTACTAGATAATAATTATTTAGATTTTGAAATCGAATTGGACCCGACCTTTAATACTTTTAATAGTTGTATCAGTATTATCGATGGGACTTACGTAGCTGCTTATATACCGATGCGGTATTAGAAGCGGTATTGTAACCGAAAGGGCAATTTAATATAGAATATATTTACTATAGTAAAGTTCGATTATACTTTTATATATATATTAGCGGGCGCGGAGGGGTTATTAAATAATGCTTTGTTGTATATTTATATTTTCTGGAGGTTTTTTTGAATATTATAGTTATAATATTACGTAATTAATGCGGGGTTTGGTATTAGATTAGGGATTGTAATTCTTTACTTAAATATTAAATACTATTTATAAAATTGGAGAAATATAGATAAACCCCTAGAGATAGCGAAAGAACTATATAATTTACGTTATTTTTTTATTTATATTGTTGTCGAATAAGTTTTCGGTTTTGTAAAAAGAAGGTGGAAGATTGTATGGATCGCGCTTATTGAATAATTTATAAAGAAGTAGGTTTAAATTGTATATATAGTAACCGGGCTTTATAATTTTATTGTAGCGTATTTGAAAAAAGAGGCGAGAATATTAATATAAATTGAAGAGAAGATAATAAGAATAGTACGCCGGCGAACGAAGGAGGTAATAAAGGGTATTTATTTTAATAATATTCATTATAATGCGGTATGGTTAATAAATAAATAATAGTAAAATATTTATTGACGATAGTAGAGAGAGGAGGAGAGGAGGGGAGAGGAAGGGAGGTGAAATGGGATTTTAGTATATAAAATCGAATATTATAATTGGAGTTATGTAAAATTGAATAATTAGAGTAAATTGAATATTATAATTAGAATTATATAAAATTAAATAATGTGTATAGAGGTATATAAAATCGAGTAATATATATAGAAATTTTATATAAAATTGAAATCATTGTATTTATTCGTATAATTTGTAGTAAACTTATTAGATTTTTAATTTATAATCCCTTTTTTTTAAATCCTTTATTTTTAGTTATTTATATACGTAGCTTTTATACCTTTATTTAACCTTATTTATATTATTGTAATTAGCGGATTATTTATTAGATGATTGATTGATATACACTATTATTGTTATTTTTGTTATTTCGTTAGTAAATTGCGCTTATAAATTATTTATTACGATATTAATATCCGCCGTATTAGGAAGTTTAGGAATTTAGAGAGTAGTCGCTGCCTTTTTTATTGAATTATTTAATATTATTATATTAAACTTCTTCTTACCTCTTTTACCCCCCTTTATATTTACGAGCGCGACCGTTTAGTTAGTAAGAATTTTATTCGGATTAATATTAAGACGATATTTTTATATTATTATTAAGGTATTGCTAATTTGATTTGTTAATTAAATTGTTAGTTAAATTGCGGTCTCCCTCGTTATTGCCTGTAATATTGCGATTTATTTCGAGGTTATAGAAGGTTTAGATTCGTTACCGCTATTATTTTCCTTATTAGCTTCTTTATTTTCGTTACCTTCGTTATTATTAATTTGCCCTGCTTTTTCCCCTACCTCGACTATTTCGATATTGTCCTCTTTAAGTAAATCCCTGTTTAATTTATTTTCGAGTTCGTTATTAATTCCGGCTTTAAATTTTTCTTTGTACTATATTTTACCCAGTTTAGTAATATTTAGACCGGTACCCTTCGATTTAAAGAACACTCCCTTATATATTTTAATGTTACCAAAGGGTTGGCGGCGAGTTTAATTAATATTGTACGTTTTAATACTATAGTACTTAATAAAATTCTCTTAATATTCGTTTGAGATAATAAGTAACTTTATATCGTTATCGATACTAGTATTAGAATATTTGGTAAAGAGGGATTACTATATAATATACCGCTGCTATTTAATATTATATTTATTTTAATACGAATTAAATTTTATTGCTACCCCGGCTATATTTCTTTATATATAGAAATAAAGTAATTCTATACTTTAGAATAATCTTTTTAGTATTTACTATTGAATTAGCCTTCTCTAGTATAAAATAGTACCTACGTTATGAAGAGGGTAGTCTTCTTAGTATTGAATTTTATAGATTTAGTACTATCGAATATAGGCTCCGCCTTTTTTTTACCGGTGCTTTAAGTTTCTTGGGGGCCTTTTTGTTCGTTAGCTTAGTTAGTGCCTTCCGCTTCCCTTTAATTATTAATTAAGCTAACGGAGGAATATTTTATATAGCAGTAATTTAGTTAGTGGGAGGATTAGGTACCGGTTTTTAAATTGGTTAGTTTAGTATAATAATTATAGAGGGGAAGGGTAGCGGTATATTATTATTACAATTAGCAGGCACCGGGTCGTTAAAGATATTTTAGATAGGCTCTAATAGTGTATTTTTATTTATTAAACTTAGAGTAGGGGGTTAGGTATAAAGTTAGGACAAATCGATACCCTCGAGATGCTATTAGAGGTCTTAGGAGTTTATTTTAATAATATTTGGTTATTTAGTCGATTATTGGTATTATTTACTTTTATTATAATATTACGAATAATATTGATAATTTTAATAAGGTTAACCCTTCTTTTTGAAAGCAGTGTAGATTTTTAGGCATTTATAAGTATGAATTATACCGAAGACAGTTAATAACGATAAATACGGCTAGTTAAGTACTAATGCGGTTACCTTAGTACGGTTCTAGTACGGTTACTACCCTAAAAGTAGTATAATTGTTAGCTTATTGGGTTGTAGGGTACTAGATTGTACTGTAAATTCTCTGTAGTCCCCGGGTGTGCAGGATGCCGATCAGGCCCTTATAGATGCCCTATAGTTTGAAGGCTTTTTATTGCTTGGTGAGGATGTGAAGATCAACAGACATCTGTGACTGAAAGTAAGACTTATACAACAACAACAACAACAGGCAACAACTGTTCCGTGCCAAATTAACATCACAGAGTTGGCCCTTTGGCTCATCGTAAGCGGCTGTTTCAGAAGAACATGGGACAATGTGACTACAGGGGGGAAAGGGTTCCTTAGGACGATCCAACTAATTTCCATGGGCCGCCTGGAGTCTTGCAGGGAATTAGGCTCATGGGAACCCGGGGGGGCGAGGTATGTAACCCTGTCTAAATGCGACTTCATCGTCCGTTGTTCGAATTTTATCGAGTCGCCGTTTTCGCATATACCTGACCTGACCTACCTACCTTACGCACACTTTGCATGACCATCTATATCTCTTGCATCAAGTAAGGTCTCACTACCGCAAGTGGGATTCCGGCGCAGTCGTATCACCTCCTCTTCCCAAGAGTCGTCTTAACGAAGATCATACGGACCCTCCCACTTCATGTGCAACACCACATGCGTATGTACATGCGCGCCTTGTTTCTTGTCCTAGGGAACCGTAGCATTGCACACACTCAACCGGACTTTTGGAGTTGGACCAAACTGTCGCCCTCAGACCATCCTGCCCGCCATCCTGCCCGCCAGCCTTGAGCCGAGTCACACAATATCCTCTTATTGACAGGGAATCTGGAACTCGTATCCTGTGCTTTCCGGGGAAAGGGGAAATACTGAGACACGCCTAGCAACCGGGAGACGGTCCCTTGAAGGAGCATCGAGTCGGACAGTCACTCTCCATCATGGAAGCAGCTGCAAATTTCTTGAGGAGGAAGCGGTCGGCCGGGGGAGAGAAGGGCAGATCGCTTTTCTCAAAAGCGCACCCAACCCCCCCGTCAAGTACCGGACCACAGAGATTGGACTTGGACCTCCCCGATCTTCCCAGGCTCCCGCTCGACATCTCCGAGTTGCTTCGCTTTGACGAGGCCCAATCGAAGGCTCCCGGCCAATCTTTGCTATCGCCAGAAGCAACAACAAGAATTCCAGCACCGCCCAAATCCGCGCCGCCAAGAACAAAAACGACGCCAATAGCAGCAACGCCGACGTCAGCGACGTCAGCTTTGAGCCCATTGGACAAGAAGCTGTCTGTTGCACCAATCCAGACTCGTACTGGTATCTCTGGTCCAACAACCGGTCCTCCCACTGCGCCGCCTCCTCCGCCGCCACAGCAAGTAAAGCCAAAGCCGCTGCCAGTGCCCAGATCTGCTGTGGAAGCACCCAGCTGGGAAAGGACCGGGTCGCAGCATCCCGGAGCTGATAGGCAGAAGGCAGCCACTATGATCACGACTGTCAACGCGGCCTCCACGCCCACTACCCCAACGGCCGCTTCCAACGCCAAACCTTGGAATGCTCCGCTACCGCCCCTACCGCCTATGTCGATACCCAGACGGCCTCTTCGTGCTGACATAAGTTCCCCTACTTCGCCTTCGCTTGTGACTTCTCCCACATCGGTTGCGGCTTCCCTAGACTCGCCCACCCTGAAGCCCATCGCAGCTTCCCGGCCAGCCTCACCACCCCGCTCAGGCCCAGTCCCGGCTCCGGCTCCGGCTCCGGCTTCGGCCTCGGCACCGGCAAAACTCAAGCCCTCCGTGTCGCCCAACACTTCGGTTCCCGTGTCACCAGCCGGCTCCTTGTCCAGCATCTTGTGGGCACATTCGGATGGCAGTTCAGGATCAAGCCCGAGATCTTCGACAAACTCTACCCATAGCTTTCCCGATTCCAAAGAGCCCAACCCAAGCGCAGCGTCTTCGAGACTAGTCGGACAAGTCTCATCGTCAAACCATCATGAACAAAAGAGGGAAGAAGACAAATCTCGAAAGTTCGCACAATCAGAGCGAGAATTGCCGCCGGCACCGCCCGCGCCTCCAGTGAAAGAGAAAGACTCGCACCTCAACCGCCAAAGGCCAGAGACCCCGCCAAAAATAGTCCGACTACAAACGCAATCTGAACAAGCTTCGACAGGGGCGCAAATCGCGCCGATCTCGATCAACGGCTCAAACACTTCTCCCCAGCAAGGAGAGCTTTGGAGACGGAGATCGGTGAAAAGTGAAAAGAACCTGGTGGTTGCGGACCTTGTACTTGATTCCAGCAACGGATCCACCGCCGAATCAGCCCAGATTCAATCTCATGCTGCTTCGCGCACCGCCGACGCCCAGCCAACAGTAACACCGCCTTTGTCGCCAGGGCACGTCGACGCATCCCCACCTGCAGCCAATAACAATTACCGTGCCCCAGTGCATAGGACCACCACTGCCAATGCTCTTACTGGGAGAAACATCCGTCCTTCAGCCTCTCGTCAACAAGTCATTCCCCAGGTTCAGGATACGATGGGCCAAGCCAAATCCCACTTAAGAAAGAAGAGCCGCGACGACACACAGAGAGCGGGTACGCCCGCGGAAAAGGCAGTGTCGCAACCGACATCCGAAACCAGCAATGGGCTGCCTGCCGCCACTACCGCTCCTTCCGTCGCCCGCCATCCCGCACCCGATTACGGACAGTACGAAGAAGTCAAGCAGCCAACTTGGGAGCCGGACGCACCATCGGTACGACAAGTGCCATCGACAAATACACAAGGGGGAAACAGACCTGCGATTCAGCGAAAAGCAATCGGAGGGTACGACACCCAGGTGCGGTCGGTGAACGATTCGAATTTGGCTCCAAGCGAAAACAATGCTGGGCTCTCCGTGCGCTCGCCTGTTGGACTCCCCGCTTCTCCTGTGGCCAACCGGGGGCGCCCTGTAGAACGACCCCCGGCCCCCAACGCGGCCCCGTTCCCCACTCGAACCACATCCAAAACCGGCAACGGGTACCGACCCGCGAATAATCCCACTCCTCAAATTCAGGTCCAGGACGAATATCACCAATACTCCAATGGCACCGTAGATCACGGCTCCGTCTCCGAATCTGGGTCCGCTGTATCTGTTGAGACCCTCAAGCCGCCGAGGCGCAGATACGTGGACAACGAGATCGCCGTGATCTCGGACGAGGAGGAGCCCGAGGAGCAGTCCTGGCCCGAGAGAACTGACAACCCCGGCGTGGCCCTCTTCCTAAAAAAGAAGAACTGGTACGCACCATTGCCAGCCGACGGAGTACTGGATGCGCCCCCTCTTACGGACAAACACTACCGGTGCCTGACAAGCCATAAGTTCATGACGCCGAGCCGACAGAGATACAATCGGATTGCTTGCCGCACTTGTGGTGAGAGACAACATGTGGATTGCTTCATTTGCAGTGCCTGCTCCCTCAACATCTGCCTTCCCTGCGCCAAAAGTTTGAAGGTGTTTGGAGGGAACTTGAAGCAGCTTTTGCGCCATGTGGAAGAGAGCAGACAGTTTAACGAGGAGGATGAGAACGGCCAAGTGACCCCAGGAGCCCAGTACGCGGACCACAACGGTTTTAGCTATGGGCCACCGGCAGAGAACGGAGTGCTTTCTCCCGTTGAGGCACACTAAAGCTCGAGGTGGAATGGTTGGGATTGGGAATCAAGTCTGGGAAGAAGCATAAAGAGCTGCATACTGGAAAGATAAAACAGGTGTCATAGGTCGACGGCGTTGGGGTTGAACTTGCTTGATGCTATTTGTTGCATGGCCGGACAGTAATACGTTGTAGAGAGTGTTGGTATTTGGTGGTACATATGTTTGATGCGATTTACGAGACAAGATAATGAGGAATTCTTTGTATATCTCACTGGATGGGAGAGATGATGGTGATACCCTTTTTGGATCGGGCTGGGCTGTAGTGGTATATGGATCATGGAAAAGCACTCCGTTGAAGAATGATAAGGCCACTGTAACGAGCAATTCATCCATGATTTCCTAAAGAACTCGCCTTCTGATTCTGGATGTGAACGATGAGCCGGTGGTGACATGTTGATATCAGATGGGCTAGATCTCCTGGCGATCGGCAAGTGCCCCTGGCGTGGTGACGTCCCTACCTCTATGCCCTGCACATCGGGAGCCCACCTCCAGTAACGGCCCGTAGTGACAGCCCTAACTGTTAGCGGGTTTCAGTGCGAAGGCACGCTGAAGGCCTGTGGCAACCACGTTGTAACCCCAGACGTACCTGAAAATGCGGGAACACGTAAAATACTGTATGCGTTCCCATGGTAACAAATGTCTGGTCCAATATCGCCAACCTGATCAACTTTTGCATACGTCGGGTCTATCGAACAATTGGGTCATAACGCCATCCGAGATATTGCCTGAAATTCCAAGCTTGGTCTTTGCAACCCAACACCTCAGAAGACCAGCGCCCAATAGGCACAAGCTTCACGAATGAATGACGGACACTCTTAACAACACCATCCAATCCCCGCCTCCCAAGAGGAGAGTCGCTGGCACCATGTCTTCTTCGACGCCTTCCTTACAGCCAAGTGCACTGGATCGCACTCGATCACTACGGAAACCCACGAGTACCGCGAGACTGATGAAGGATACCACCACTACCGGCGCGGTTGGTACGTCTGCTGGCAGCAGTGCCACCAGGGGAGCAGGAGTAGGTGGACCGAAACAACGGCCTGTCTCGATGATCCAGATGCCATCAACAAAAGGAGCGTTGCCTGCGCCAGGGTCGGCTTCTCGGACTGCTGGGACCAGCAGCATTGGTACAGCTGTCAGCGGGAGCGGAATCAAAAGGATGGCTAGTGTCAGAAGCGGCACCAACAACAGCAATATAAAACCACCAGCCTCTGGAGGGCTTAATCGACTGGCTAGTACTAGGCTAAAGCGAGAGGGAGGGAAGCTTGCGGATGCGGATGTAGGGACTGGCGCTGAAGTTGGAAGTGGGATATCCAGTGGTTCTGGCAGCAGGGTTGGATCGGGAGCAGCCATGGCAACATCACCAACAACATCAACAACTGCCACAAAGTCGACAACATCGACAATATCCAGTCTGAGACAACCTCTCCGTGCTCGCGTTCCCACGGTATCTAAAGCCACTCCTCTGTCACCGCCAACCACAACAACACGATCAGTGTCAGGACCCTTCGGAATGACTCGTCCAACTACTTCGTCAAGTTCAGGCTCAATGGCCACCATCACTAGCCCAAGGGCAACTGCTACATCAGGTTCTGGTACCAGAATAGGTACGGGAATTGGTCTCGCGGGAAGAGGGCATGCGCGCACCCAGTCAGCAACAATAAGCTCACCAAAGCCGAAAACGCCAAAGCCAGCACCACGAAACCCAGCAGCATCGGGAACTTCAGCCATAGAGTCCTCGAAAGGTACCACGAGTACAGAGGTCGGGGTTGCTGGAGGGAGTGGAAGTGAACCACCCAAAAGCGCTTCCAAAGGAGTTCTACCACCAAGCACTCCTGGTAAGAGTAGGCCTCAGTCACTTATATCGACCAACGTCCTCAGACGGTCTCCTGCCACCGCTACGCCAAAGCCAGCAACGGCAGGAGGGACGCCCAAAACATCGACTGGAACCGTACTAAGGTCATCACCAGCTCACAAACGACAAAACTCGGCATCTTCGGTTTCAACCACCGGTACTGCGGCCACCACAGGAACGAAGGCCAGGACAGCGGCGAATCCCGGAACGGCAACGAGTACAGCACCAACCCAGACTCGACGTCTCGCCGCTTCCAGGAGACCACTCTCCGTACAAGCCCCCGAAGCAGCAATAGCCAATATTGTAAAACTAGCACCAAAAATATTATCCTCAACACGGCCCCCTGCTACAGCAACCACCACAGCTACAGCCACCAAACCTCCCCCCTCACGCCAACCAAACACCACAGCCTCCTCATCCCTTACAACAGCCAAGCCATCGGTCCCCAAACCCAAAACCCACCTCCCCGCTCCCCATGCCACCCAGCAGCACCCCCAGCCCCGCCACGACTTCGACACCTACCAACAACACTACACCCCCGCCAAGATCCCTCTCTTACCCAAACCCTTGACATCTACCTTCCTCGCCCCTCCCACGCCCTCCAAGCAGCCGCAAAATGTCGCGCTCTCCGCCGAGATTTCTAGGTTACAGACGGAGCTGTTGCAGTTGCATTTGCTCCATCGGGATGCGGAGTGGGTGAGGGGGGAGTGGGAGGGGGATGCTAAGGAAAAGTTGAGGGAGCGGTGGGAGAGGGTGAGGGCAGAGGAGAGGACGGTGGGGGAGATGGAGGGGAGGGAGGGGGAGGAGGGGGTTGTGGAGGGGTTGTTGCAGTTGAGATGGGCTGGGGATGGGCTAGGACTGGGGCATGGAAGAGAAGAAGGAGTAGTAGTAGGGGGAGGCAAGTTGGAAGAGGAAAAGATTCAGGCGCTGGATGAAGTAGTTTCGGGGGTGTGGGCTATGAGCGAACCATCTTCTTCTTCGTCTTCGTCTTCGTCTGGGATAACCATGGGGAAGTACACGCGCGTCGTGCGCAGGTTTGAGGTGTGGGCTGAACGGGCGGCCAGGATATTGGAGGAACGCAGAAGCGCAGCAGATGATGAGGAGAGTGGAGGGCTGAAGCTGGATGCGAATGGCGAGGTGGAAATGGTCGGAGGGTTGGATGTCGACTGGAAGAATGAGTGCGTTGCGCTCGGGAGGCGGTTGGAGGAGTGGCGGAGGATGTTGGGGGAGTTGGGCGGAGTGTCATTGAAGCCGGGTTATGGGTCTTTTCGGTCATCGAGACCAATCAAAAGGGTGGAAGACATTGAGGGGGGGATGAACGAGAGAGAGGAAAAGGAAGAAGATGAGTCGGCTCTAGACAGGATTCTGAGCGGATTCGGAAGTTTGGTGGATAATATGCTTGCTGAGTTGGAGGTTATGGAGCAGATTGAGAGGGAGGCCGTGGCGGAGGAGAATGAGTGGGTGCGTAGAATGAACAGGGTCGACGATGAGAAGGAGGGAGAGGAGATCATTGGGAAGCGGGCGGGAGCTATCTGGAGGGCTCTTTGATGGGTGAGGATTTGATGTTTTATGAGTAAAATGAAAGGAGTATGGGATGATTATGGTGAAGAGACACGATGGATGGGTTATGGCTGTTTGCATATCTTTCGTTTGGGTTGGGAACCTGAAGGCATGGAGATAGAAAGCTTTCCGGTTCCGTGATTTCGTTCGTAGTTCATCAGAGGTGTTGAGCGTTCCTCTCCATTGAGTCCTGTCCAACCTTATATCAGACTAATGGATAGTGTATCGGTTTTCGTCTCCTTCTACATTGCATCTTGTCTCTCGCATGCCTATGACCTCGTGACATTGTGTGATTTGGTGTTTGGCCGTTTGATTCTCCCTCATTTGTGAAGTATCCTTTCCAGCAGAGCCGTCAGTATAATCTCTTGCAATGACGCTCCCCCATCTTGGATGAAATGTACGAAAGATGAGGCCTACCAGCATCTTCACAGTTCAGGATGTTCTTCATCCATGTATGCCTCGTTCTATCGATCTATGCTGAGCGTTCAGTTATGACGGAACGAACTCGTGCCCCATAATGCCTCCGTATTTCAGTGCCCAATTGGATCCACGCAGTTTCTCCTCTTCTTTCAAACTTGAACAATCAACCACGCTTTTCTCACAAGCAAGGGAATCATCTGCATGGCACCATATGGTATGGTCATGTTCCGAGTTCTGTGCAAGTGGTCACAGATAAGCCCTCTGTATCCACACCCCGTTCAACAATCAGCAGCCCGATTAGCTCAGCTGGTTAGAGCGTCGTACTAATATCCTCTCTCCGAGATGTCAAGTCATGCGAAGGTCAACAGTTCAATCCTGTTATTGGGCATTCTTTTTGTCTTTTTTGTCTTTATCCTAACGCTTTACACAAGTTGATTCTTGTTCATCCATCCATCCATTGCTTTCTCTTTTTTTTTCCCTTTTGTTTGCCTCGTTGTCATGATTCAAAATCCTTCGGAGATCAGAAAAGCCATCCGTTAGTTACGTCCAAACTCAGTTCTTGTGTCATCATTGTTTAGTGCAACCGGGAAGGTTCAATCTACATTACAGACTTTGCTGAGAAAGCAAAATATTGGAAGGACGGGGACGTTTGGAAAGAACGCAACACGATTCTTCATCTTGAATGGGAACATGACGACCAAAACTTCCCTTGAAGCTACCTAGGTAGCGTACCGATTAACATCATTTATATTCATTCTCTAATCATCCATCAGTGCATCATTTCAATGTATCACACAGAACTTCAACGTTCACGACCCCAAACTCCTTGTTTAAAGAGCTATACACCGGCCCGAAAGCAATACTGTATTGTATGTAGTACCCACTTCACTCCGTACTCCGTACGCCGGGCACAGACGCCCCCGGAGCCGTTCCGACATCGCGCACTTGTCCCGACGACCCATCATGATCTCTCTCCGCTCTGCCCCGGACGGACCGGGGCCGAGCCAAGAACAAGAACACCTCCGTTCGAACATACCGCCCACACATTTTCATCAGTTCCGAAGAACCAAAACCATCATCAGCAATCATCGATTGATCGATGGGTACACACACGCCCACTTTCATCTTCCATTCCAAATTTCCAGTTTCCAAAATTTCCCCGCAAAACCAACGTTCTCATCGTCGATTTCTATCACTTGCATAATGTGAGCAATGCGACCAAAAGCGCCATGCATGATCGAGTTGTACCTGCGTGCTGCGTACTGTATGCGGATTGACGTTGACGTGTTGAACTCATGTTCGCTCCAACCCGCCTTCTCTAGCGAACTGCCTGGCTGGATCATCGCCAACAAGGCAAGTGATCTCGTGTGTGGTTTGTGGTTTGCGTGTTGATATCTTGTACGTAACGGAACTGCGGTCCAACTGCGGAGGAGGCGTTCCAACAATTTCCAATCTCGTGATCTTTTTCTTCTTTTCTTTTTGCAACGGCAATGCCTTTTTCGTATTCAAAGTCGGCCGACTGCGGGCCCGGGGCCCGGCCGGGCAAGTGGATCCTGTTTCCGTCTCATCGGGGTGTCGGCGGCGGTGGTCCCATTGCCCTCCGTCTCTACGCTCATCGCACCTAGCTCCTCCTCCGGCCGGCCTTTTCCCATACGCATATTCTCGTCAACTTCCATGCCCGTCCGCATCGTTCCGCTCAGGCACAAACCACAAAAGCCAACAAAAGACTTTGCAATTTCTGAAACATGTTAATTTGTTGGCAACACGTCATTCTGTTTTGGCGCCAACGGCTAGGTAGCTCGGTAGGTAGAGGTACTAACTATAGCTCCGCACCACATGCCTACCTCTATAATGTGTTGAGATACGGTTGCAACCATACTCCGTAGTGGTGGCCAGTCTCCAGGCTTCAATCCATCCAATCTCAGAATTGTTTCAGAAGTTCCCAAGTGCCGAAACGAAGCGCCGGGTCCAGAGCCTCATCCGTCCCTCTCCCGTCCCGCCCCTCCCCGCTCCGCTCCGCCCCGCCTTGACCCACATTACCGGTTCCGAAAACGAACGTTCGTTCGCCGCTCCACTGACAACTCGCCGCTCACTAAGCGACTTGGGCGAACTATTTCCGATCCACACCGCGCTTGTCCTTTCCCGTATTAGGGTCAGGTACCTAACCCATAGGATCGATGGCTGCCCGAAAAAGACAGCGAATCATTGTGTCGGTGAGCGGTGTCGGTTGAGGGGTGTTTGGTTCTGGGTTTCGTTGGGAGTCGGTCAAGCTTGCGCTGTCACCGCCTTTTGCCCTGGCGCGGACCGCACTAGAACCTCCCCGACCGCAGCAGGTACGGATCGGATAGGATCCGCGAGTTTCACCTTCGCTCGTTCGTTCGATGGAAGCGTTGCCATTGCCCTTCAGTTTGTTCTTGAGGTTGTTCCAGAAACCCAACAAAGGTTCCTCCCATGCCTTCTTCTATTTGGTCTTCTCAAAGCCCTAAACCCTAGTACATCCATCATCCATCATCCGTCCATCGCCAAATTCGTCAATAGTAATATAGTAGTAATGGTGGCATAGTTCCAGAGAAAACATGAAATGAATAAAATATATGCTTCCCACGCCCGCGCAATGCCTGCTTTCATTCATCATTATTTGTTCGTTGTTCTGCTCATCATTTCCTGTTCTAAGGGAAGTGTGTCAGAGTTGTGTGTTCTTGTGTTCGCTCGCGCGCCGTCCTTTCTGCCTTGTCCATATCTCTCCAAATAATTAAGCAACATCCTGTCCCAACCCCGGTTTTCTACTAAATAAGAATAATCAAAATATGGACGGCCGGCCTCAGAAGGCTGACCGGAAAACATGTACACAACGAAACCCCAGGATAACCCGTAACCGGCACCCAGGTGCAGTAACCTCGAAATGGGTGACTGTTCCGTCGTCGCCTCTGCTTCAGAACCGGCCGTCGCGTTTGCCTGTCTCTCTTGCCTTATCCCAAGCCAAGAAAACATGGCAAACTCCAAATCCGACGGCGCACTAAAAGGGGTATCAAGGGATATGTGAAAGACTTTCTTTCAACCAAACAAGGGCATTGCCAAACCAACGCCCTTGATATAGCAAACCTGAGCAGTCAAGGTGATAAAGCCAAGAGCTCCAGGCCAGCATGATCTTTCTCCCAACTGAAACTTCCGAAGCGGGCCAAATGGTATATGCAAGGTGCCTCTCTGAAGCAAACGTGGAAAGACTACCCAGATCGACGGCGCCCCGTGTGACGAAAGGCAAGGCAGTTGCCAATCTCCAGCTCTGGCCGACCAAGTGGACTAGAGCTCACTGCGGCTAGAGCCCGATCGTCTGGGTAGCCAAAGTATTCTCCTCCAGGGATAACGTGAGAAGCGAAGTTGAGTTGAGTGTGATCGTTGAGACGCCAAACGCCTCATAGCAAAAGATAAAAAGCCGATGCAGTCAGAAAGTCGATGTGAATGCTCGTTGGCGAAAAATAATGGCGCCGTCCTTGGTCGTGTATGAGTGAAGAGACCTGGGAGATGTGGCCCCAAATTCCAAGCACGGAAACCAGGTTCCGTGCCCAGAGAGAGAAATGTCAAAAAACCCTCAAATGACCGCCAGCGCCCGATTGGGGTGCTCAATGTTATGCCCTGCCCCTTGTTGAACGCCGAGCCATGCATGTGTGTGGTATTATACAGATCCAAGTCGAAGGAGAGCCTCAACGGCCTCCCTCTCTTGCGCATCTGACGGGGTCGTCAATGCGGGTGTTGTTGGGAAGTTGAAGCTGCGGAACTGTGGCGAGCGTGCCATTCCCACTGATGAAGAGAATGACCGTAGCCCACCAGTAGCGTAGACACTGTTCGCGTTGAGGAACCGGTCTGATGGGGCTTGGTATGAGGTCGCACGAAGCGCAGCCGCACCAACAGCGGCCCAGTCTTCATCATCTGTCGCGTCTTCCGTGTCGTCATCCATAGCGATATCATCGTCGTCATCAGGTGCCTCTGAGCAGGAGGCTGACGCCGAACCATCCAAGGACATCCTGTCCGCTTCATGGTCCATCATGTGCATAGACCGATCGTCAAAGGAAAACGCCGCGCAAGATTCACCGTCGAGGGAACCAGCCGCTGCGATGCGCAAGCGATCCAGGTTCCAACCGTCATTCCTGGCAATGGGAATACTTGCGGGCTGACCTTCACCGTGTGGCGATGCTCGGCGTGCTGCCATATACCCGGAGGGCTGGCCACGCCTCCTGGCTTGCCATATTCCCCAGCCCACCTTCTCAAATTGTACGTCACCGTCCAGACCGCCGCCTTCGCCTCCACTTCCTCGACCTTCCAAAGCACCCACAACCAACCTCCGAGCCTTTGTCGGAGGAATCTCGGCAAAGCCAGGGATAGAGCTCGTGAGATAACCCATGATATGACGGATCGCAAGCGGACCGTGGTTCAACAGGATCTCTGGTAGATGGAACTTGGCCAACATGGCGGCGTTGATGCCGGCCGACTCGTACGGGGGCGAACCGACACTACCGTGGTGATCGGTGTCGTGATCGCCATGGAGGTCCAGATCCGAATCGACGTGTTGGTCCATCCGAGCTCTCTGAAGCTGGGCCTTGAGCCCATGGGGAGGCAGTGTAGGGGACATGGAGTTGGGAGGAGTAGGGAGGGGAATCGGGTGAGTTGCCGTCACAGGGACATTCCGGGCCGCTACAGCAGTTAAGTTGTCTCGGCCGAGGGAGGTCGTAGCGATATCGCGAACAGCAGATGCCATGGTTGCCATGTTGACCTTTGTTGAAGTCGGTGTGCTTCGAGACGTGTCTGCGAGTCGGCGCAAGTGGGAGTTAGCACGATATGGCGGGAGGAGGGCAGACACGCGACGACGCGTTGGTGAAGAGGTATGATGCTGTTGCTTGTGATGATGATGGAAGGGGGAGGAGGAGGAGGAGTGACGGACAACGGCGGCGGCGGTCTTTTTGTTATCAGTCGTGGTGCCGACCAGGGCCATGGACCATGTACAACTACTATACTATGGTATGTACGTATTATATGTATATGGATGCACACACGCACACGCACACAGTACGGTGTAGGTCCAAGTAGAGGCAGGTACACCAGTCGATATGACGATGTGCCCTAATCGTACACACGCACTCGTCGTGGAAGCAGGCTGATACCCGGCAGCCCGGGGGTGAACCGGGGGGAAGTGGACCGTGAGATACAATGCCCGTGGATATCTTGGCCACGGGGACGTGGGTTGAGTTGTGACTTGTGAGGGGGGAGTGGTATTGGGGACCTGGGGTCCGCTCCTGAGTCACTCACCAGATGTCCGAAGTAGATGCGCAGCTGGCAAAGTAACTCTTGACCGGGCAAAAAGTGGATTTGGTCGGATCAAAAGTGTGGAGGCAGGGAATGGCAGAGCTGTTGTTGTCGCGATGATCTCTCTGTGACAGGAGATGACTCTCGGTGCTGAATCGATGGTGCTGAAGTGCGTGTGTGTTTATTTGCTTTGAAGAAGAAAAGGGAAAAGAAAAGAAGAAGAAGAGAAGAGGAGGGAAGAGAAGGAGATGGGATGAATGCCAGTGATAATTAAGCCACCCCATCCTGGGTGTGCGCCCCCTAGAATAGGTACAGCCAGTACCATACAAGTACGGCGTAGGGAGACGACTGGAGAGGTACCACTTACAACAACTGGCAGTCTGGCACCCGACAACAACACAACGATCTCGACGCACACAGACAGGGCAGGACACCACCTTCACCTACCGGTACTGTACCATTGTCACGGGCACATTCTGGCCCTCGCTTGCCATTGTCTTGTTCATCCGTCATCGCTATTTGCCTGGGCATAGACACGGGTAGAGGCTACCTCCCTCTCTCTTTTGAGGTTCTCGGTATGGAATGAGCTAGGGCTCAGCTGCAGTCATCAAAACGCGCCGCAGAGCAGTCACCGCATCGCTTCCGCGCTTGCGTATTGCGTACCTGCCATCCCGTCTGCTAGAGAGCTATCTGGCATCAACTGGCATCAAAACAGGCATGGAAGCATGGACTAGGCCATGAGAGCGAACAAAGCAACAAAGCCGGTTCAAAGGGTCTTCTTTCAACTTGCCAGTCACAAGATCGTTTGGTTTGCCGTTGATTGGGGAGAGGGAGGGCGGCGGCGGTTCAGGAATTACAAGGCCCTGCTTGGTCACCTCTGTTGCCATGCCATGGGTGTGTGTGATGAGTGATAGGGCCAACTGGTTGCAAATGGATGGTGTTCAGGCTGCTGCAGAAACACAGGAGTGACAAGCCTCGACAATGACAAGAGAAGGTGATGCCTACCTACCCGCGCCACCTGGGGTGCACATAGTGGCCATGAACATGTGCGCCTCCTCCAGCTATTCCAGACACAAAGTGTACCGTGCAAATGCCAACCTCATCGACTGGCTACTTGTGTTTATTCTGGGCTGTCAGGTCCATGGTGCTTCCAGGTTGTCCCGCCAAAGAGGACCGCTTGCAACAGCCAAGGCACACCAACTGCTGCAACCCCCCCTTGACTAGTTGACCCCTTCCGCCGGCGCTCCTTTTGCGGGTTCCTTGGTCACGACGGGATACCCGGCCTACCGACCCACTCCCGCCTTTTCGACAAGTTCCATCATCGGCCGCCTATTTTGGCACCATCTGGCTAATTTTTGTGTTTTGTGCGTTTGTTTTTCCATCATGTTGTTGTTGAGTGATCTCATCATCATGAATATGGCTCAAAGATACTCTCCTTGATGAGGGCAATCCAGTATGTCTGGCGTTATTACGGGACAGATAACGTGTCATGGCAACGTCCAATTAAGCCCATATCCAGACAGACCAGAGAGGTTCTCATTTTGCACAATTTCGGCGATAGGCTGGCAATCGGAATTCTGAGAGCGGCATGTTAGTGCGGTGGGCGACGAGTGCGGGCTACGCCAACTTTATTATGAAAATGTCAATGCGTCTGGACGGAGGCCCGAGCACAGTGCACAACTTTTGTGTTAGTGGACAGGTTCAGTCAATCTTGATCGCCCTGGAAGTCGAGGGTTGGCCGCTGTAGACAAGATGACGACTCTCAACACAATGCATCCTCTCTATGTTTATACAACAAGGCTACTCCGCCGTCTCATTCCTTCACGTGGTGTTGGAGATGCTTCCGTCTTGTCCAAGTTCAGGGCACAACCCGAAACTCCCCGTTTCTCCGTCGCTGATGGACAACATGCTGGATGGAACTTGATACCCAAATGATACCATAAAGGTAACATAGCTGCGGCGTAGAGGTACACCACACCTTCATCCACGCGAGAGCGGATACTGATATCAGACCCCTCAGCTTTAGCACCCGCCGGTCCCGGACACCGGAAGTAATAAAAAATCATGGCCCTCACATTGGGAAACAAATTGCAACATGTATCAAGATGCAGGTTTGCGACGGATGAGTGCACCAGGCGCTGACCATTCAGCCATATGGGCTACGAGTGATGGATTACACAGCGTATGAACCAAGCAGACAGAAGCCCGGCCAAACTGCCGCCGTTAGCCCCGTCTTCCCGCCATGCCCATCACCGGCGGTCGCTGCCGGTCGGAAGTGCCTGCATTTGTTTGTGAATGGGTATCCTCTCCGTATCCCGCGCCTGGCAAGCAATGCGGCCTTTCCAACCCCGGGCAACCGAGACTGCGGACTCCCGCCGAACACACAGAGGCACAGAGGGCTTGACAGGAACGAGAAGCAAGGGGCTGACCCTGCCCGAGATGTTCCGGAGCCTGGCTGGGAGTAACCTTGTCACTCTTCGCACGGGCTCCGTAGCCGCACGGTCAATGGATGGGAGTGATAGATACCCGCCCACAATAATCCGTCGATCGTCGATGAGCCTCTCTGAAGTGTAGTCGTCGGTTTAAACTTTGAGCAACATGAGGCGAAAGCAAGGAGGTTCAGGGCGAACAGCCACTCGTCTTGCCTCGTGGGTTGTGTCACGGACATCCAAAGCCAGAGTGAGAAGCACAGAGCAACAACGAAAACGATCTCCGTTCGTCATCATGTCAGGTCCCCAGGGAAGATTGAAATCCAAAAGGGAAATCACGTTGGATAAGACGCTCGCTCTGATTGGATGGGTGTTCAAAGACAGGGCGATAGCCTATCGGGTGAGCACAACCGAAGCACACCTCTTCTGCCAATTCCATACCTCTTGTCTGGGGGCAGATATCCGGAAGAATTGGCGAACACGAACGTTCCCTTTCGGTATTGATAGTTTAAAGTTATTTCCCGTCACCTACTAGTGACCAGCCCCCTCAGCAAGAGAGGGGAAGACGGTCTCAGTTAGAAAGTCACAAGGCCTAGGTTGTCGTGATATCACAGATAACGAATGGCAGTAGGCACGGCTTGGCATCACTAGATATCGCTCATCACATCGATTCCGAATATAACTACACATCCAGATAGCAGGGTCTTCTTGACGACAACTCTGGGGTAGACAACGCACACGCACAAAAACCAAGCAAAGAAAAAGAAAATCATCAAGCCAAAATTCAAATATCCCTCCCCTCTTGCCAACAGTCCAGCTGGAGACCGCCAATCCTCATGCCTTCTTCCCCTCAGCTTCGCTTCTCTTCCAGGGACGTTGTTCGTAGTGGGGTTGATCATGGTCCATCCACCAAAACCAACCACTTACACCCCGGTTCCAGAGAGAGGGACAGGAGGAACAAAAGTTCCAAACCCGTTAGCAGAGTGTTTACACTGTCACTAGCAACTAGCAAGTGGTGATGTGATGTCCATTATGCGACGACGATCCACTGGACGTTAACAACTCAGAACGTCCGGAGACAACCCGTGGTCCACTGGACCACTGTGACCGTGAACGACGAAGAGCCAAGCTGGCGGTCCCGGTTTTTTACCCCACGTTCCAGCACCCGCGGCGGCTTCGGGGACTGCGGAGAGCGGAGCAGGAGACGGGAGCGGGGATGATGCCGAATCCACTAGTGCTGTACATCGTCGTGAAGCCTGTCCTGCTTCCGCGGTTGGTAACCACCTCAACAAAACGCTTCAAGAAACCAAACCATTCTACTCAAGACAACCAAGACAATCACCTCAACGGTTTAGAGCGTGAGGGGAAACACTTGAAGACCAGGCCCGTGGAAGAGTGCGGGAGGACTCAAAGCATCTGACTGACCATCAAGGCCCACGGTGACTGAGGCATTCGATCGTGGAATCAAGTTGGGGTAGCGAGCGGTGACTAACCACTAACCACGCCAGGAACAAGTAACTGGATATGTAGATCATGTTTATAATAGAACACATGTTGGAAAAACAAGGTAAAACGCCAATTGGTTACTAATAGCCGAATTACCCTCTCTGCGTATCGTCTGCGTACCTGTGAGAATGCCGATGACTTTTGTTGTCCGAATCTGAAGAACCAACAGCTTATGATTTCTTGCATAAAAGATGTCAGTTGGACTTTATCCTCTGCCATTAAACTCTCAAGGTTCTCACCACCCACGTTTAATACCTCCACCCGGCCTATCGTTCCTTCCCTTCATGTCGATATCAAAATGCGGGGTTGCCTAAACCAGGTATCTATCTAGAGGCACGGTAGCAGTAGGAATCAAGAGCGAGTGCCGTGAAACCCACGCCTCCAGAATCCAGATGTCAAGGTTCCCCATTCCCATCGGCATCGCCAACAGGAGTAACACCCACCCCACTTACCAATATCGTGTTATGTATGGGTTGCTTTGCCGCGCGCACGGTTTTTGAACCCCTACGTACCTTCCCTATTTGCACTTCGTAGTGCGGCAGTGCTTAGAGCATCCATATGTGCATATAAATGTGAGGAAATGAATGCCCTGGCTGGCGGATTACATCACATCACGCATCAAACCATCCATGAATACCAAGCTGATACACGCAGTGAGGGCTGGCTTGGCTGGGCTGGGAAAGTGCGATAAGTCTGCCAAGTTCATGGACCCTTGACCCACCCACACACCCGGAGATGAAGAACCATCACCATTTAGTTTGGGTTGGGCAAGTAGATAAGTAGAGGAGGGGCTCGTTTCGTTATTGGGTTCGTGACGTACTCATCAAGTAGAGGGAAAGTCGGCGCTGCTGAAAAGCGCCACCGCCCCCGACACGAAGGGAACACTGTATCCTCCATCAAGGTCGATGATCTGTGGTTGACAGCACCATAAAATTAGGCGAAGAAGGGTTGGGTGACTGTTCGTGTAACGACACAGGAACCTGGTTTGGGTCTGGGCCCAAAAGGTGGTTCTGCGGCCCAGCACACGACCACCACCACCATCACCACCACCACCTTTTAAAATCCAAGATACATGTACTGCATCGCAACCACCCACGGCGTGACAGGCCTCCCATTACGACATCGTGTTGGAACGGACGGGCAGGTTGGGTTCGGCTCGGTTCGTGGTTGCAACTCCCAAGGTGACTAGAACCTTATCTTTTGACCTTAGGTATCGTATAGCAGATGAATGTACCTCCTCCGTTGAGCCTGTGGCGACAGCCATGTGCACGCCAGATTAATTCCAGTTCCATCTTTCAGGTGGAAAATATGCTGGTATTGGGCGACCCCTGGGCAAGCTGGGAGGTTTCGGAGGAGTCGATACATGAGTAAATTTGTCCGCTAGGCCCCTATACATTCGCTTGTAGGATCCAGTTCCCCAGAAAGATGGCTTTCTGCTCCCCAAGCCATAAACCTATGGGGAGGATTCTGTAAGACCGCGATTCCTGACCTGCTAGGTCTCAAGCTCCGCCATTCTGGCCAAATACGTATTGTCTACAAGCCTAAAATTCCACTTTCGTTAGTAGACGCACCAGATATGAAAGTGGCAACGGAAAGGAGGAATCAACTTGACGGCTCATGAAGGAACCTTTACTCACAGCTTTCAGCAAGTTGATCTCCTCCCGTGACTGATCGTAAACTTGACGATAACTAGCGATGCTCTCCCGCAAGAGGGCATCTCTGGTAAGGCGGCCTTCGCAAATCGCCTTCATCTTGAGCTCCATCTCCTTGCGAAGAAAAGGCTTACCAAGACTGGTTTCGAAATTCATCCTCTCAAAGCCCTCAATCAAGGCGACGCCGAGGCTGGTCGGGATAAACTCCTTGACACCACCGCGACCACCTCCGCCACCTCCGCCTCCTCCTCGGCCGCCCCGTCCACCCCCTCGTCCACGTCCTCCCCGACCACCGCGTCCGCCCCGGGCGCCACCAGCTGCACCGTCGTCCTCGTCGTTTCCGCCGCCTCCATTACCTCCTCGCTCCACCACCTGAACATACTGTCTCTCCTTGATCTTCTCGATATGTTGAGCCATAGTGGCATCGGTGCCGATTCCATTCGCGTCCATAAGGGCGATCAGATCCGCCTCGGTCAGGTAGCTAGGAGCCGTCGTCTTGCCTTCGGTCATCATGGCCTCGGTCGGTTCAAACGTCTCGCCGACGGTGAATCTCGGCAGCTCGGCCGTTCCGGTCCAGTTCTCGTAAGGGTAAACGTCGAGATAGTTGCGCTGGTGGACGATCAGGCCGTGGGCGACGAACTTTTCTTCTCCGTAGGTGATTTCCACGTCGGTGGTTGCTCCTCGGGCGTCTTCGGAACAGCAGGCGAGGAATCGGCGGACTACGAACTCGTATAGTCTCTTTTCCTGGTCGTCAAGCACGGTGGGTGCCGCGTATGTGATGGGGTGAATGGGAGGATGGGCCTTGTCGTCGTTCCTGCCTTGGCGAGGTTGTTGGAAGGCCCCGTCGACCAGATTCTGTGCAAAAGGGCCCCAGCGTTGGTCCTGGGTCTGCTTTTGTACGAGCGCCCTGAGGTTCATGCCCTTATCGAAGCGGTCTGTCTCTGTCCTGGGGTAGCTGATGAAACCCTTGTTGTACAGTTTTTCTGCTACCGTCATGGCTTCTTGACCCGTCATGCGGAGAAACCGTGTGGCCATCTTTTGAAGCTCGACGGTGGTGAGGGGAAGAGGCTTCCATTTCTTGGTCTGCTTCTCTTTGACGTCCGTGACCTTTGCGATTTTGGCGGCGAGACATCTTTCGTAGAACAGTAGCACGGCCAACCTGTCGAATAGCCGGTTTCTCGACCAGTTGAAGTTGACTTTGACGCTTTCTTTCTCGTGCATCACCTTGATTGACCAGAATGGTTCTGGCACAAAGTTTCGGACGCGAAAGTATCGGTCGACAACGAAACCAAGGGTTGGGAATTGGCAGGATCCTGTTAAGTCAGATTCATACTGGCAGTGTAAGCTCTATTCAGACTTACCATAGCTGAGCAGAAGGTCGGCCATTGCCCCACCAAGTGGTCTCAGACTTAACGTCAAAAAGCGAGTAAATGCAGATCCGATTCTCAGGTCCAACTCGATACGCGCGGCGACTGCTTCAGCCTGTCTGTCGTCTAAGGCTACCGGACGTCGGGCAGCAGATAGGATATGTCTGAATATTCGGCTCGACATGTCAGTTATCCCTGGCCTTGATACACCTGGGTGATGAACTTACGCTCGTTCAATGTTGCTGAACCTTGCTCTGAAGATTTGAATGTTCCTCTTGCCCTTCCTTGCGGCCTCCCGGATCTCGCTCCCGATGTGTTCACCTTCTCGATCACAATCGGTCCAGATGTAGAGTATGTCAGCTTGCCGGGCCTGGTTTTCGATGTTCTGGGCAATATTCTTCATGTCCTAGCATGAATCCCGTTGTCAACATATAAAATCCAAGCAAGGATGATGCGCCAGACACTTGTTGGCAATGGCGAGACATACATTCGGGTAGATTGTCTGGACAGGCGCGTCAAAGAGGCGATCTGGTGGTGGGTATTCCCACTTCCTGAACTCCTGGTGGAAGTCTAGCTGCGTGAGATGTCCCCTCACAGCGGTCATGGTGACGGTAGAGTGTCCCCAGGGAGGACCGAAATCGCAAGTGAAAACATAGTTTTTGGTATACCTGTCCCGAGTGTCATTCTGCCTTGCACGTTAGCATCGACCTCTCAAATGAAGACGTAGTGAGAACCCACGGTTTGATATGCGCCACCAGACAGATGTGCAGCGACCGCCTTTGCAATCGACGGTTTTTCGGCCACACAAAGAATTCGCGGCATTTTGGACGAATAAAAGCGTACAGGAAAAATAAACCTACGCCTTGGAAGCAGGGGACAGCGAGGCATCAAGCGGTCGTCTGATATTCCGTTGAAGTGAATGTGATGTTAATCCCATTCACGACGACACTTCGCCGTAGGAAAGATAAAAGGGCCGGTGCAGGTTCACTTGAACCGAGATTTCATGCAGCGTGAGAACTCCAAGAAGGGTGGTTTCGGATACATCAGCTCCTGGATGTGTGAGATTGATGACCTTGGGGCTCTTCACAGCCTTTGCAGTCATACCCGTTGCTGCGGGCTCATCAAACAACACAGTTGGTTGTTGATGGCGGGGAGAGACGCGCTTCGCGTCTTTGGTTGTATTGTGTAATTTATGCGTTAATCCCACCATTCAAATAAACGCTATTGTAACTCGCATTACTTTTATGCGCTTGCGCTAAAAGAGGTATGACGGTGGCAGGGCGGGTTCGTGCCCCGCCTTCCTGGGCGAACCACTACAGCTCCCGTCTGATCACGGCAGGAACCGCTCTCCATCCAGATCTCAGACTAAACTGCATGACGCATAAGCGCGGATGTACATCAAGACATGACGCCAATTCTCCGTCAGCTCATTAGTACCTCCAAGAACATCCCATCGGATCCTTCGATTTGATCTTTCTTTCTCCTTCAGTTTCTCTGGAGAGAGTAACAATCCATCCATCTTCAAACCAGAAGCTTTTTTCAAGTCTTTGCATCAAGTCTCTATTCTTCGGCTGTGCTCGTTCAACGACTGATTACAAGCTGTCGCCATGATACTGCCATACGCCATGGCTCTGCCCAAGCTGGGTACACTCCAAGAGTGCTCCGACTTCTCAAAGACCGTCACGCCTTTCCTGCCACAGCTCTACGCCCTTCCGCGTCAAATCCTGGGCACTGTTCTCAATGGAGGGAGCTTCCTCAAGCTGTACATGGAGACCAACCCGTTCATCAGCGGGCTTGGAGCCTCCATTTTCCTGGGCGGCGTGTTTCTTGTTGCTGGCGAGGTCAACAAGAACTACTCGCAAGTTGATCGCTTTTGGAGCATACTACCGACCGTCTATATCGCTCATTTTGCGACATGGGCGCGTCTGGCCGGAATTCCCAGCCGGCGCATTGATGCCGCCTTGCTCTTCAGCACGATTTGGAGCGTAAGTCGAGTCGCATTGTGGAATTGGCAGGAGTGCTTACTGACATTGTTAGACACGCTTGACATACAACTATTGGAGAAAGGGCGGGTACGGAATCGGACACGAGGACTACAGATGGCAAATTGTTCGCGACATGCTGCCCAAGTGGGCTTTCCATATCTTGAACTGGACCTTCATTTCCTTCATCCAGAGCGTTCTGCTTTATATGTTTGCTTCTCCTGTTTATGTCCTTCTCTTGGCTACCCAGTTCGAGCCCGAGCTCTCTACAGCTGATATTGGCTTCACCGTCATGCAATTGGGTCTTATTCTTACCGAGTTCATTGCTGACCATCAACAATGGGGTAAGTTTCATGGTACATGTGTTCCTCTGGGGAGCGCCTGCTAACATGAAGCGTGTGTAGTCTTCCAGTCAGCAAAGAAGGAGTACCAGACCTCTGGTCATGTCCCGGCCGGTCACAAGCAGGCTGATCTTGACCGAGGCTTTATCACATCAGGTCTCTGGGCTTACAGCAGACATCCGAACTTTGCTGCTGAGCAATCCATCTGGCTGACGCTTTACCAATGGGGCTGCTTTGCGACGAATACCCTCTATAACTGGACCATCGTCTCTCCCATCATGCTCTTGAGTGTCTTCCAGGGCTCCACGTGGCTGACTGAGCGCATCACCGCCGGGAAGTACTCAGAATACAGCGCGTACCAAAAGCAGGTCGGCACGTTCGTACCCAAGACTTTGAAGGGGTACAAGACCACTGTGCCCAAGGTTATCCGCACCAGCGATCTTGCCAAGAAGCTGCAGGAAAAAGAGAAGGAGAAGGAGAGCAAGAAGCAACAGTGAAGACAGCCCAAGAAGTGTGTCTTTTCCAATATGTGAAACCTGGCAAGACAACCAACTGCGGTGGCTCTGGCAAAAGCTTAAAGGGAATGGCCGGGCTGAAAGCAGTGGATAAAGTCTTAGCGGCGGGCACGGGAGTCTCCTTTTGCAAGGGCCAGGCATGTACCGTGGAGAGCGTGGTCAACAGTGCAAACTGGTCGCCTATCTTATTTTGGATGCAATTTACACTGGCGAGCTTCAATCAACCCTTGCAACTCCAAAATTGCCGAGTTCATAATTCTCACTTGTGTCTGTGCAGTGTCGAGTCGTACTGGCCCATGGCTGATGTTGGTGTGCACCATGAGTGATGGTGAACTGCTCTACCCAAGTTTCTCGGGCAGTCAGCATCCTCCAGCTTTCAGGGCAGTCAGCATCCTCCAGCTTTCAGGGCAGTCAGCATCCTCCAGCTTTCAGGGCAGTCAGCATCCTCCAGCTTTCAGGGCAGTCAGCATCCTCCAGCTTTCAGTGTTGTCATGGCATTTAGCTCTACGGACATAATGAGACGGCAGCACAACCGGAATCCTGAAGTACAGGCAAACGGCACATACAATATGGAATTCCAACAAACCGTTGTTGTTGTGTCAGGGGTCCGGTGTGATTCCACAATTTGCATTCTGGCCACATGACCACCCGTGAAATTGCGTTGTTGATGCCCGAGAACGCACCAGAACACCGAAATAAAATGGGACCTCTTAAAATCCCTGACCAAAACGTGGGTGGGGGGGCCAGATCACAAACCCCTGAAGTGCCCTGCACGGTAGATCTTCACCCAGGCCCCGGGACCCCTATCCCGGCAGAGCAACCGATGGGTCCCCTGGACACGAAGACATTGAAGAGGCTCCGTAAAATTTCCAGATTGCCAGAAAACCGAGAGGATGACACAACGCACGTTCCATCTCCAAATGGAATCCCTTCATTTTTGTGATATTTTTGAAATATTGATGTGGAGACGTGCTTATGAGATTTCGCAATAGCCTCGATCTCATCAAAGATCAACAGCAACATGGGGCTCGATCAGACTTTCCGCGCCAGGAGAGATGGGTGTCTTCGTAATTCACTGGATAGCGAAGTCCGAGGAAGGCGACATCTGCCAACCGCGGATGTTTGGGAAGTATAAAGGAGATATCACACCCCCGTCTTGACTCCTAGAGTCTGGACTTTCTATCTGTTTATTCCTCTCTGGATGCCCAGCTCGGCCTTCGTACTTCGGTCACATCTCTGTCACTCGTTCTCCAACATTTTTATCATCCTACTAATAATCGATCCAACTAAACCAACACTCGTTTTGAACCACTTCGGGAACCAACGACGCTCATTCATTTGTCGGTTTCCATTCACTGCCGTTGTACTTTGAACCGGGCACATCCCAATACTTCAACACCACATCATCCCGAATTCTGCATCACTGGTGAAACCGAACAACTCCACTCGATCTCTTGCGCCTGATCATACACCAAACCTGACGACCCTCCGCCTCACCTGCTTTGAAAACCCTGGGCTTACAAACACTCGAAAAGTCGAAATTAAGTTTTTCATCGGAACAAGTTTTCGTTGGGGTTATCCACTTTCCGTCCGAAAACCTGTGAAAACCTGGGAGACAAGACGAAAATTACGGGTTCACCCTAGTGCGCCCACGGAAAGAACAGTCAACCCACAACAGCTTGATACTCACGATAGTTCCTTACAATACGAGCGGTACCCTTCACTCGCGCATCTTGTAGCATTGAGTCACCAGGGCTACAGCACACACACACACGCACATAACCTAAACCTTGCAGCTATCATTATATAATCCCGCACCCCACATCTACTTTTTTTCCTCCCACTCTTTCACGATGGCCTCCTTCTGCCCAGAAGACCCTTACTTCAACCTCTTTTTCACTCCGGCACCAACTCGAAGCCCATCGCCATTCCCTCCTCTTCCTCCCACCTCTACCGCGACCCCATCTCTGGTGAGAGCGTTGATGTACTCGACCTCCATCCCAATGTCCATCATGCCGTCCTCCAAGGAAGCTGTCATCAGCAAGTCGCCCATCCTCTCCGCCCTGCGCTCCCCGGTGGGCACCGCGGACTCCACCAACAAGACCTTTGACTCGGGCTACTTCTCCTCATTCTCCCAGGAGACCACCCTCAAGCCCTCTGCTCATCGCGGCTCCATTTCCTCCACCATGACCACCTCATCCGTCGCGACGACCTCCACTACCTCAGATGCCGCTGTTGCTGAAATTCGCATCACCACGGTGACCACCAAGACCACCACCAAGGTCGACATCCTACAGCGCCGTTTTCCCAAGCCCACAGAGGAGGCCAGCGTCGAGGAGCTGCTGGCCCGCCCTCCCCTTAAGCACTCGCTCAGCCACTACGTCAAGAACGCTCGCGACAAGCGCTTGCACATGGTTGACCCCGAGGAGGAAAGGAAGCGCTTTGAGAAGGCCAAGGCGGAGTTGTTGGCTGCGAAGGCGGCTTTTGACTTGAAGATTTAAGTCCTTCTCGCCTCTCGCCACCTTCGGGATAAAGCAACTTGGTTTTCTGCTTACCGGCAATCAATTTAGCAAGCGCTTTTGACTGATGGGGGCTTTGCTACCTCTAGCGACAGTAGCGAGCGAGCGACCATGGAAGTCCGTTCGGCATCCGATTTCGGGGATTCCTTTTTGGAATTTTCTTCTTTTCGATTCTTCATTCAGCAAGCGACTTCGTTTGGCTTCTTTTCGACCTTGTGGCTGAGCGCTCGGCGCCTCACCACGGGGTTTTTCTGAGATACCTATTTCAACTTTTCTTCACCACTTTTTGAGATACCACGGCAAACCATCGGCGGTAAAGGGATAGATTTTTTTCGTCTTCGTTTCTCCTATCAACCTAGTCTTGGATCGGCATCAGCCAAGTCAAGTATAAACTAGACGGACATAGATAAGGGAAAAACGGGATCATCATGTTCCTCACGGAACAGGCGGCGGCGTTAATGGAGTGTTTTTGGGCCTTTGTCAACCACGAAGCAGAGAAAGGTTGGAAGAGATAAGAAACTGATGCAGAGAGGATTTCACATGCATCATGGAGGACGATGGAAAAGCAAAAGGGAAACGGGAAAAAAAGAAAACAGATATAATTTGACATCAAAGGGGGGGAAGGGGGTAAACCGGCTTGAAATAATCCTTCGTGTTATCCGACAAGTAGATAGCAAGGAAATGGACATGCCTCAGTGGCTCTTGAACAAACTTGTGTATCTACCCCTTCCTCTAGTCAAGGCGTGAAGCCAAGGTGAAGCCATACACAACAGCAGCAATGAAATTTCCCAGGTTGAGGAGCGACGAAATGCCGTGGAGCTGGGAGAAGCGCTTGTTCAGCGCAGTCATCTCCTGAGAGTGCGGGGGAGCATCATAGCTCTTCTTGCCGTCCTTAGTTTCTGCAAAGTTTTCAAGTTATCCCAACGTCAGTAACGACACATCATCTAAACAAGGCAACCTGAACCAGATTGTATAGCCCAGCTTGGCGAGCGGTCGTAAGAATAAACCGAACACGGACAGTCCAATACCGCTCGTTGTAGTTGGGAAAGGCCGTTACAAAACTGTGATAGGGATCACAATAATTTAGAAACATATCGGCCAGAGTCCATTAGGGATTTTCCCATCTGGGAACCGCGTCGAGTTTGAGTTTTAAGGTGTAATAAAGACGTTTGGATACGTGAAAGAGTATATCCAAGGTGTGATGTACTGACCGTGACGTGTTCGGTTTATTCTTACGACCATTCGCTTGGTTAAAGCAAGCTGCCTGCCACCAAACCGGCAACACGTTCATTCAAAATGCAAGGCAAAAAATCGTTAGAGGCAAACTTACCCTGATGCTTCCTCTCCTTCATACACTTAGTAGTAGCGGGCCCAACCACCGCGAGATTGGCTAAACCGGTCAAGAATATGGCAGCAATGGGGGCGAGAACGGACCACCTGTTATCCGGGTCCAGAACGCCGGCGATCCCAGCGGCACCAGCAGATCCGAATGCGGAGGTGGCGCCGGGGTAGGTCAGGGCGAGAATAACGGGGATGGTGGTTTGTATGGAGAAGTAGACGGGGAAGATCTTGGTCTGGAGCGCGGAGAATTGCGGGCGGGGGAGGACTTGGAAGGAGATGATGCCGCCCACGAAGGACTAGAGGTGAAGGTTAGTGGGAAGTGTTCGGTTTCATGATCCTGAGAGTTGTGGATGGAATGTGGTCATGTTGGTGAGATGTCGTACATGGAAGAATGTTGTCCCAAGTAAAGTGCCATAACTGGAGGTGAAGATGGGGGTGGTTAGCAGTTGACCTCATCATAAGCGAGGAGACTCTGATGTCACTAACCTGATGATATGGTAGGGACCTGGTGAGAGTAATAGACTTGAGGATGACATATCCACTGTTGAACAAGTTACACAGATGATAAGGAAGGAGCTGGTTCAAAGATATTCACGTCAGTTCTTGATAACCTCAAGAATATGGGAATGAGGTTCAAGGGATGAAGTTGGCGACAGCAACCCGATTGGACTCCCCATCATGCTCTTATGCAATGCATTGGTGCATGCATAAAGCGGAGCGAGCTTACCACTTGTGCGCAGCTACGTCACCATTGACCAATCAAATATCGCGATGAGCTGCATGCCATGGGTAACGCGAGAACATGTGCCTTCGCGCAAGCACACGGTGTATTGTAACGTAATACACACCGTCAAACGCCAACTCCAATTCCCGTTACAGCGTGTCATTGCTCCGAACTGTCTCCAACTCTGGCGATGCTGCCTAGAATTCCACCTCGAATGAATGTGAAGCGAACGGGCCACAGCGAAGTCATGCCTTGAAATTATTTACCTCGAAAAATCTAGTCCTTTTTATTTTCCCTCGAACTTCCAATCCCATCGTCGTCACCAATTGCTACTCCACGGGCAGTCCTCACCTTCCCTCACCATGGCGGACAAAGAAGCCACAGTCTATGTCATCGACCTGGGCGAGTCCATGGCGGACTGTCACAATGGACGGGACGAATCCGATCTCGACTTTGGCATGCGCTACATCTGGGACAAGATCTCAACCACCGTGGCAGCCAGCCGCAAGACCTGGAACGTAGGCGTCGTGGGCCTCAACACCGACGAAACCGACAACAATGAAAACAGGGAAGAGTACCAGGGGTACGAAAACATATCGGTCCTCCAGGAGCTTGGACCCATGACCATGACTTCTCTCAGAGCACTGAAGAGCAGGATTGAGCCGTCCAGTACTTCCAGCGCAGACGCTATCTCGGCAATTGTGGTTGCCCTCAGAATGATCCAAGTCTTCACCAAGAAGTTGAAGTATAAGCGCAAGGTTATCCTCGTAACGAACGGGGAGTCTCCTATTGATGACGATCAGTCTGAAGAGGTAGCGAATATGCTCAATGATGTGGGGATAGAACTTGTCGTAATGTGAGTGTTCGGCTTCCACCGGAGAGCTTCCGTTGCAAGTGCTTGATCGCTGACCATCAGATAGCGGGGTTGACTTTGATGATGCCGAATATGGCTTCAAGGAGGAGGATAAGTCACGTCACAAGGTAGGGCAAACACCACAGGGCGATAAGTCAACATGCTAACAATTCTCCAGGAGGAAAACGAGAAAATCCTCAAAACGCTGGTCGACCACTGCGAGAACGGCGTGTTCGGCACCATGGCTCAAGCAGTGGAAGAGCTCGCCATCCCCAGGATCAAGCCCGTCAGGCCTTTTAAGGCATACGATGGTCCCCTGACACTCGGAGACCCACAAAAATACCCGAGCGCGCTGAGTATTCATGTTGAGCGCTACTTCAAGACCAAGAGAGCAACACCTCCGTCAGCGAGCAATGTGGCCATCACTAACGGACCGCCTCAGACACAGGTTTGGGACGAGGACAGCGGCGTACCAATGAGTGGTGTGGAGTTTCAGTCAGTCAAGCAACTGCGCACATACAGAGTTGATGATGCCAAGGCAGCAGGAGGGAAGAAAGACGTCGACAGGGAGGATCTTGCCAAGGCATATCAGTATGGCAGGACCGTGGTCCCGTTTAGTGAGAGCGAGGAGAATATGACAAAGTACGAGACAACCAAGAGTTTCACGATTATCGGCTTTGTTCCTATGAGCAGCGTAAGTCATGTTTGTATTTTTCCTATGAAAACGAGCGTTAACATATCTACAGTACGAGCCATTCTTGAATATGGGAGAGACAGGCCTCATCGTTGCTCAGAAGCTTAATGAGGAGGCGGAGCTAGGTCTATCAGCTCTTATCCACGCTTTACATGAGCTTGAGTCCTACGCGGTGGCTAGGTATGTCAACAAAGACAACTCACAACCACAAATTCTTCTGCTCAAGCCAAACCCGGCAATCGAAGACGATATTGAGTGCTTGTACGATGTCCCATTACCATTTGCGGAGGACGTCAGGAGTTATCAGTTCCCTCCGTTGGACAAGGTGTTGACCATTACGGGCAACGTGCTCACGGAACATCGCCTTCTGCCCAACAATGATTTACAACAGGCGATGAGCGACTATGTCGATGCAATGGACTTGACCGAATTCGGGCAAGATGAAGATGGGTAAAGTGCTCTGTCCTCGGTGTGGTCTCTTGTCCCTTGCTAACCGAACGACAGAAACCCTGCGGAATACGCGCCCATCGACGACCTGTATAACCCCGTCATCCACCACATGAACCAAGCGATCCGCAATCGTGCAGTGAACCCCGACGCTCCGCTACCACCCGTAGCCGACATCCTCACACGCTTCACTCATCCGCCGGAACCATTGCTAGCAAAAGCCAAGTCTGAAATCGACGGACTGATCGAAGCAGCAGAGGTCAAAAAAGGTAACCGGCTTCTCCACCCCCTCCTTTGCCCAGCACTCCTTCTAACACTCTCACACAGTTCCACCAAAAGTCCAAGGAAAACGCGGCAGGAAAGACACCGTCAAGCCCCTTTCCGGGCTGGACATCGACGCCCTTCTCGGAGAGACCCGGCCGCGAACGAAGAAGACTCCTATATCAACGGAAAACGCGATTCCCGAATTCAAGCAAATCTTGGAAACAGCGGAAGACGACGAGACCATCGAAACTGCCGCCAAGCAGATGGGCGATATCATCCGCAAGCTTATCAGCGACAGCTTTGCGGATGTGCTGTACCCCAGAGCTGCCGAGAACCTGCGGGTGATGAGGGAGGAGCTTATAAGCATGGAGGTCCCGACGCTTTACAACAAGTACATTACAGGACTCAAAGAAAGCTTGCTTTCTGGAGAGTTGAATGGGGATCGAAGGGAGATGTGGTTCAGATGGGTTGTTGGAGGGCGCTTGGGGTTGATCACGCAGGATGAATCTGAGGTGTCGGAAGTCAATGAGGAGGAGGCAAAGGCTGTAAGTCCAACAGTTACCCGTTGAATTGGCATTAGCTAACACTTGGTTCTAGTTTCTGAAGTGAGATGCCCTGTTGCGCCCAAGGGGTTGGGGTTACAGGAATACTATCAAGCAGCACGCTGCCGGAAAGGCCTCCGTGGTGTCAAAGGTACGGTAACTGCATTTTGCTATTCCTACCACCTCGGGGCTACAGGAATACGGAACAAGTGCAAGTCAAAATACACAAAGTCATGTGTTGTGGTACTACAGATTCGGAGCCAGATGATGGGGCTTCCGGCTTTGCTGCCCAACGTCTCATTAAGTACTGATTTGACCAATACGGCCACTGCAAGTAGAAGGTTTCACGAATGAATAGTGTTCAAGGAAGTGTGCAAGCGAGTGCATTGGAAGAGAACCTCCTGGCTGGTGTCCTTTGGTTGTCAGTCTTTTTTGTAACTGATTTGTTTACTTTCGTTGCTCCCCCCAACTTGGGTCCGGCATGCACAGTGCAATTATGTCACCATTCAGGCAGACCTAACAACGACTCGCACACTTCAACTTGTCCAACCGTTTGCATTTCAATCTCTCCATCTCATCACGAGCAGTCGTTTTGCTTGTGATTTAATCTATAAGACTGACCCAGGAAACCGTCTTTTCCTTTTCAAGGAAACGCCCATTCATCCTCTTGCCAAGCGGGGTATTGTTCCTTTGTGAGCTTTGCAGTGGGGTACAGCTGTAGGCCTCAAATCGTCACAACCTCAACGGGCAGTTGCGATTTTGTTTACTTATCTGTGCTCGCTCCTTCCACTTCAATCCCTTTCTAGCACCTGGGAGCATTCACTCACGCAATCTCTCACTCACTTGCACCTTCCGCGTTGGTTGTAAGTACCGCCCAAGACCGCCAATCATGCGACAAATGAAGGTGCCTAAATCCGTTTTCATCAACTGACCATCTGACAACATAGGTTTCGGATGAGAAGTTTGGACGGCATCTGGCGCTTCCCATTCACTCTCATTGTGTCTGCCTAGGATCGGTCGTGTAGGAGTATTAATATTTTCTCCGCTCACCTTTCTCCCCAACCATTACCTAGCGTATTCTTTCTCCGAGAACTGCTTCCGCGCAAGTCCTCCGTCCAGCAACGACGACAACCCAACGATCGCGCGCGCAAGCCCCCTCGGATCAACCGTCGCTCTCTTAATCCTTTCGTTCTCAGTTCTACTCCTCGATACGTAAGTTGGATATCGTGGCAAAAACCCCGAGCCTGGAGTCCTCTATCTACCAAAAAAATCTTCTCTTTCCAGATCAGCCTCCCCTCATACTGCTGGTCCTATCGCGTCACCCAAGAGACATCACCAAATCCAATATCAGAATCGCCGGCGTCGACACAAAAGCTTTGCACTTCAGTTCATGGTCAACGCTAACTGATCTCTTAGTCACTTCTAACCGGATTATCGCTCGCCACCATGGAGGACGAGCAGTTTATGCAACAGCTGCGGAACCTGACCTGCCAAACTGTGGACTGGAGCGGTTTCGATCCTTCAAAGTGGCGCGACGAAGACATCAATGACTGGGACATTAGTGATGACGCCCAGGGTGATAAAGACGACGATTATGCATCCGACGCTTCTGTCCTGAGCGCCCGCCACTTGGATCCTTCTAAGACCAAACCTACTACTCGCCCTAACTATGCTGGCCGTACCTCCCTGCGCGTTGAGGACGTGACCGACGAGAAGGAAGAGTACCGCGATGCTTCGGACTTGGAGAACATCAGATGGCCGGAGGTCAGCGTGAAGCAGGGCGAGATCGATCCCATCACAGAACTCTTCACCCCCTGGAGAATGGTTCAGGAGTATCCCAACCTGTTTGTTGGCAAGCGCAATGGCCAGAGGGTGAGTCAAATCCTTGTGGTAAGGATGATTGTGACGCTAACCGTTCATTCCCAAGGCTCGGCCTCTTTTTACGCTGGAGAGCCTACACGAGAATCGCATTTGGGATCTGTAAGTTCTTGAGGTCCCGTCGGTGTGGGTTAATGTCAGTATATTAACATAGTCCAGGTTCTATCTCTATCGACCGGCTAACGAGGGGAACAAGAAACCCTTGATCTTTGTCCCAACCTACCAGATGCAACACCTGCTCGACGTCATAAACAGAAAACTCGACGTGGAGTTCACGTTTCCTCGCGGACATCAAGACTTGTTCGCCATGCCGTTTGGGCAGAGTAATACAGCGAAACCGCGCTTCCTTGGCCGTTCCAGATCTGCCGAGGAATGGGAGCAGCTTACAAACAACGTCCCGGCGCGTAAGCCCGGCGACATGTCGGAAAAGGCTCCTTTCCTCGCCAAACAGGAGCTGACCCGCCGCTTGAATAGCATCTTTGGAATCCAAGAAAAGGGCAAGAAGACCAAGAACAACCAGCAGAAGCGACGCAATCTTCATCTTACCTGGGGAAGAAATGTCAAGAGGGTTCAGCGGTATCTTGGTCTTCGCCGCAGGGTACTATCCAATCCGGAAGGGCCATTCACCCCACTGGATCTCACCCAGCCTACTGGCATCGAGCCGGAGAAGTCTGTCGTGTTTGTGGCGATTGACCTTGAGGCTTATGAACTGGACCAGAGCATCATCACCGAGGTTGGCCTGGCGATTCTTGATACCGCGAAAATGTCGAATGTTGCTCCTGGAGAAGGCAGCAAGAACTGGTTTGACCTCATCGAAGCACGACATATTCGCGTCAAGGAGTTTTCATGGGCCCAAAACTCCAGGCATGTCCAAGGCCGCGCCGAATACTTCGATTTCGGGTACGTGTTACCCTATCCCTGAACCCTTTCACTGCCCCTGTCCCAAATCCGAAACCAAACCACTAACAATCTCCAGCGAGAGCGAGTTCATCGAGGTTGCGAAGATCGCCAGCGTTCTAAAGGAGACCATCGAAATCGAGTCCTCCGCGGGCGGTGAAGGAGCGAAGCGCCCCGTGGTCCTCGTGTTCCACGACCAGTCTCAAGATCTCAAGTACCTCCGCATGCTTGGATATGATGTGGCCAGCGCGGACAACATCCTGGAGGTGGTCGACACCCGAGAGATGTACCAGTATCTCAGCCGTTCCAACAACGCCTCCAAGCTCTCGAACGTCTGCGGTCACCTCGACATCCCGTGGAAGAACATGCACAATGCCGGCAACGACGCGGTCTTTACGCTTCAGGCCATGATCGGCCTAGCTATTGACATGCGGCAGAAGAGCTTGAGGAGGGCTGCTGCGAAGGCTGTAAAGGCGAATACGGGGTAAGTCGTAAAAAAACAAGCGTCACAGGTCGGACGAAGTGCTAACCAATCATGTTCCCTTAGCAATGACGGTTATGTCACTTACTCCGAATTCACCGCAACGAAGGAGGACGTCGATGAGGGTTGGGTCAGCAACGGGGAGCAGTCGGATGGTGGCGAGCCAAACTCGGTGATCGAGGCAAGCCCCCCGCCTAATTCCGCCGATTGGACACCGGATGAAAATTGGGAGTTGTAATGGTGATGATACCATTGTATTTCCACCATCACTGGCCAGCGTGGCCGATATACTTGGAGGAACTAGCTGGTACCAAAGAGTGGAAGCAAGGCAAAGGGAAGGAAAGGAGGCAAATAAGGTAAAAATGACTGAGGGATGGTAACTGTCATGCAGGTATGTCATAGCATTCGTGCCTTGGCACCAGCATAGATGGCGTCCATGTGCCCTTGAGCTTCAGTCAAAGCGAACATCGAACCAACAACCTGGCGGTTGCGTGACAGGCTAGCCAAGTGTACGACGTGTATACTAGAGGAGAATCCCCGGAAGCACTCCAGTCCCTATGGCACATAAAACGGTGATGTTGATGATGGTACAAGTGTTTTATTGTACAATGGGGATCCTTCTTGTGTGAAAAACGTACATAGCCTCCTTCTTTTTCCATCCAAGCCACCCGCAAAGCCAAAAACCCGTCAACGCCAATGCTATGAAGAAATATGTGTGTGTTTTTGTACTGTACAATGAGGAGGCAACCGAATCTGAGCCGTACCGCAGGAGATGATAAACCGAGGGAATCTGTCGTCCAAGACCGGTCGATTCGTAGTGGCGGGCCGTACTGCCATGGCGTTGGTGCTTTCGGGTCGAACTCTTCCTTGTCTCGTGGCTCAGACATGACTGATGGGAAACTGCCCGCGACTCGAGCGATAACCTGACACCGCTAACGTCCCAACCAAGTAGTTGTCGATAAGTAGCCCGCGAGAGAGGAACAGCCGCTCAACCCCCCACCACCTAGGCGACACTTGGTACCGTTGGAACAGACGAACTCGAGTGGAGAGTGGCGTTGCAAGGATGTGATGTCTGTACTATCGTTCGTGTAAGAGGCCTTCCGTCAACTCCCCGTCGAGATCGAAATCATACGCATCGCATCGAAACAGTCGATCGATCATGACCAAAGCTCATTTAAACGTTCTTCTCAAGGAACTCCTTGGCCTCGTTGACCTTGGTGGCCAGGTACGGGCTGCCGCCGCGATCGGGATGGTTGAGAAGCATGAGGTTGCGGTGGGCCTTGCGGATCTTGTCCTTGGTCATGGTGCGCTCACTGTTTGTTGGAGAGGGGTGTTAGCTGCTGTTTCGGTCTCGTTTTGTTTTGTTGATGCCGGAATAGGCTTGTATGTAGGTTGTGGGAGGTTGTGTAGATACGTGTCTGTGTCTGTGTGTGTGTGTGTTTCATGGATGGATAGAGGAAAGGATGCATGCATGAGGTGAGGTACGATGGTAGCCAGCCGAGCAGAGCAGGGCACGAGGGAAGAAGTAAGGGAAGAAGTAAGGGAAGATAAGAGCCATGGATGGATGGATGGGAACAACGACAACAACAGGAAGAACAACATACTTGAGCGAAAGAATCAACGAAGCCTCCTTCTTGTTCATCCGCGGCTCGAAACCACCCTTGTAGAAAGCCTTGCCGAGGGCGCCAACGCCGCCGCGCGAGCGGCGCCATGCTACCAGACCGGCGCGACCCTGTCATTGTAGGAGGATGGTTAGCGATGATTCCTTGTTCTTTCCTTTTCTATGGTGAACAACGACATGGCTTGCGCAAGGCATCTGTATATGGTGGTGGTTGAGGGTAAAGTGCGCTGGTATGAGATACGATCGATGCCTGCCGGTGCGGGATCCATTCGCGATAGTTGCGCCGGGACGGAGAGTAGGAGGACTCACTAGGAAAGCGGCGACGGCAACACCGGCGCCAATAGCTACTGCTGACGACATTTTGATGTGGGTTGTGTTTGAGTTGTATTAGGTAACGCGATGGTATTGACGTCGTCCGGGGACTGGGGCTCGGTTGAGGCTGTCGTCGGTGATCGAGTGCGTGCGTGCGGGTGGGTTGGACTTGGAGGGCGGCCCGGCGTATGTACGGATACACGGGTGGAATGGGGGACGGCGAGGTTTGCCCGGAGTCGAAGCGAACTTTTTTGCCGGCAGCGGCAACGTATCAGCCCTTTTTGGCGGGCGTTATCGGCATTGCCGCGGTTGTTACGGCAGGCAATGGCGGGCACCTTGAGCGCTGCCAAGCGTTGGAGGGAATATGCAACTAAGTGGGGTTCCGACTCACTTAGTGCATGTGGGCAATGCTCCCAAATACACCATGGTCGGTATCACCACTGTCCTCGCCGTCCGCTCCCACTTCTTGCTCTATGTTATCAGGCACTGCTCGACCAGCTTACACATTCCGTATTCTGGATCAGTGACTTGGCTTCGATAATTTGCGTGTCAGTGTCTCTGGGTGTTATATGCTCCGTATAAGTGAATGTTATGCATAACCCCGCAAGGAGGACACCCACAAGACGCCATCACCAAAGCCTCAATCGCAACTCTACTCCTATCGTAAACAGATCTGTTTCTTCCCGTCTCTAACGGCATCGTAGTTCAGATTTCACTCAAAGCTTGCCTGCTTGAGGAGACTAAAGGGGGTATCATTGCCCAATACACAGCATACCAATCGGTTTCTCCTGCTTCCTGCTTGTAACGATGTGCATGAGCTTGCTTGTACATCGTTTTCCATCTCGTTCCCAAACGCCTTTTTAATTAGTCGAACCAAGCGTAAACAGAACCCGAACCATTACCACCCATCTCATCATACATATCCGTCCATCCATCTTTTTGCGCAAACTCTCATCATCGTCAAGGGCACCTCAAGGCTCAGCAGACACCAACCTCTCATGCTTCAGCTCGAACTTGGCATGATACGCCGGTCTCGGCATCGCCAACCCGGCCTCCACATCCTGCAACACCCTCGCGTTAAGATCTTCTATCATCTTGCGCTGCTGCTCCGGGTCCATCCGATGCTGGGCGCTCCGCGCCGCGTTGTCGCTGTAGTTACCCGCGCCGCCGCGCCCGCTCAGCCGGCCGGAGGGGTTCGGCCGCTGGACGCTCGCCGTCACGACGCGCGTCAGCTCCTCGAGCTCGGCCTCCTTTTCCTCCTCCTGCTGCTGGGCGGCGGCCGGGTCGGTTGCCGAGGCGTCGTAGAAGTTGCCGGCACCGCCGCGACCGCCGGCTCGCGAGCTGCCGAGACTGGTCTGCGCGGTGATGGAGCGCTCGAGCGCTGTTGGCGAGGTCGAACCGGAAGAAGACTTCTTTTGCGCTTCGAGATCCTGTGGTATTTGTTTGAGTATGGCGAACGCAAAAAGGAAGAAAAGGTGAGGCACTGATCAAAATAGAAGAAAACGTCGTCTGGTTCCAGTTTGTGCGTGCAATGAAGCAAAGAAGGTAGGTACACTTACAGCAGCCGCCTTCTCGGCATCTTCAACGTCCTTCTTACTATACCAATTCCCCGCACCTCCGCGGCCCACTCTGCGGAAGACTTCCGACGACATTTGCGGTCCGAGCGACGCGGGAACGGGGGAGGTGAAAGATAAAAGATAAAGGGGAGGGTAGGTTCAGGGCCCAACAACAGCAGCAACAGGCCAACAGGAGTTCTGGGACAACAAAAGGGTGGTAGTAGCGAGAGTTCGTGACAAGAAAAGGCTTGTTTGTTATGCCGTGGCCAGGGTAACAAGTTTCAGGGAGGCAGCGTTGATTGAAGACGAGCGGCGCACAGTCGGGATTGATGCTTGTAGGGGACTTTATTGCGGGGTTGTTGATTTTTCCACCTGGTGACCTCAGACTTCAGATGATCGTTTCAGAAGGTGAGCAAAAAGTGAAAAAGAAGAAAATGACAGTTGACTGACGAAACCAATCCGCCTTATTCATCTCCAAATTTCTTATCAGAAAGCCAGAGGCCTCTATGGAGTATCACCACCTAGATCCAGCAGCGCAACTGCAGACTATCGTCTTGTCCCGCGGCCACAGTGAACTGCTATCAGCGAGCCTTTCTTCTTTCTGACGACCAGACGACTTTAAAGTTTTAACCGACTTCAAAGGGTACCTTTCGACATTGAGGCTCCGTCTTCACGGTTGGTCGCCCCGTTACATACACGTGTACGGTCGTGCATCAAACAGTGGTCCGCCTCGGGCTGGTCATGTCGATCAATCATTTAATGGCTTCGGCACTTCCCGGCTCCCGTCGACCGTTGCGCAAGCACAAGTTCCGTGAGTCTTCCCTTTACCCTTTTCCCTCTCTTCATCTTCCGTTCAGCTTTGTTCTTATAAGTGTACGCTGCAGGTTTGTTCAGGCCAATACTATACCATGCTATCGCCTCTAAGTCGTCTCTTGAAAGCCGGCCTTTTCCCCGTCAAACATCGGAGAGATCGGATGGAGACTGTGCCTCCACTTGCCGTGTTTCTGACTTCTTGGTGGAATCCTTGCTAGGAAGTTTAAATACTTGGTCAGCTGTCCCGTTTCCGCCATTCAACGTCATATCATTCTCCATCGTTCCACGCGAGCGAGGACGTCCCGGAAGCAAAGGCACATCGAGGACACTTGACACTTTGTATGAATGTCTTCCTACAACACAAAACCTCGGAGCCCTTGACTTTTTTCCCATCTTGTACTGGACAAAGTAGCTCTTGTGAGAAGAAAGCTAGCGGGCACTGTGGCCCGCTTTTTACCTCTATGTACTCATATGGGTATGTTTTAGACATTCTCGAGGCAACCTGGCTGACACAGCGGGTCCCTTGCGTCGAATGCAAGTGACGTTGGGTAGCATCCAGCTCGAGGGCAGGTGACGGACGATCTCGAAAAAAATTCTGTTGTCAGCGGATAGGCTACAACAAAAGTCTGTAAGAGTTGCCTGTCTAGTGTTTGAAAAGTAGTTGTGTAGAGGTAGGTAGAGGTATCGTCTCGGATGCCCCAGCCATATTGAAACGACATCGCGGAGTCCGATGTGTTCCCTGGGATGTCCGGCAAACCTCCAAACATCTCCAAATTCAAGGAAAATAACACAATTGGGGATTGTCAATCGGTCCCACAGCAGCCTTATCTCAACTCCATCGGAGCCAGTTGGGTATCATCCAGGCATACAGCTGACTGCCCACTCGCCCACTCTTGCCCTGCCCGTTCTGACGATCTGTACCTTAGCCTGGCGGGATATCATGGTCTCCTTCAACAAGAAAGCCCACTTTTTGCGATGTCGAGGAACGTGGTTGGATATCAGATGCCAATGCCGTCCGTCAGGTACCAAAAAAGATGGAGCTTCCCTCCATGTTCTCATGAGCTCTTTTTTTCTTCTTTTTTTTTCCCTTGAACAAGTTTGGTTTGGCACACACGTCTTGCGGCTCAAATTCCGAATGGTCTCGAATTTGGGACCCTTGGGACCCCAACGTCGGATCTTCTTGCAAGGAAAAAAAAATGGCTTCCATCGGTTTAACATCAGTTGGGAGTGTAGTCCAAAACCCGAGAGAGCTTGCTAGAAACTCCGTTCCGTCACTCACTGTCTGGGTCCATCCAAGAAGCGCAGCTCAGCTTCTCTCTGTTCTTAAGCCGGGTCCGGAACGGTTACCGGAAACTCGGAGGAGGAGATGTGACAAGTTGGAAAAGCCCGGGACAGATCGAACGGTGGCTTCTCTCGACAAAAGTCTGGGGAAGCAAGAAAGCTAGGGGAAATGCAGTAGGGTTTCCTTCCTTGGGGATCTGGTCATTCCGATAATTGGTTTCAACGGCCCACTCGAGACAATTCCAGAGGCTACTTTTGCTCTTTTTGGGAACAGGTAAATGCTCGCAATGAACAAGTCCGGTCATTGGACCACTTCAGTGTGAGGCGGGAGGCTGACGAGGACATCTTGGAGGGAAATATTTCTGGGTACACCTCTGCCGGCATATGATGTGGCAGTGGGCCTGTCGTCGATACCTTCTCTTCTAGGGAGTTGGTAGCCCTGCAAAGGCCTGGTGGCTTGCTTTTTCTTTCCTGTTCTGTCTTGGATGGCTTACTGACTGTGATGATTATTTCGGGCGATTGTTGATAGTGTATCTTCCTTCTCGTTAGTGTCAGCGATTAGAGGGCACAATTGTGCCTGGCCGTGCAACGTGCGATGTGCTGCATGAACAGGGAGCGTGGATGTTCAGTTGGCCAAGGCCGGGTGAGGCGTGAACCTATTACCGCCATGCCGCCTGACAGTCATGCACAGTGTGATTGTTAAGGCAAGCTCACAGGGTACATATTGCGTGCCTCGAGCACTTTCCAGTGAAGAGTGATCCAAGAGGGCTAGTGAGTTTCGAAATAGTTGTCACGGGTTCTCGGTCAACGAGTGGGAGACAGTTCGAATATTCAAGCCTTGTTGAAAGACTTGAACCGTCTGTGTAACAGCCAGGTTGAGTGCTTTTCACGTCGTCAACAAAAAAACATTGAAACAAATGATGCCAGCACGTTGGGAGAGACCAAATGCAGGTCCACGGGGAGCATGAAACTGCAATGTCCAATTGTACCGACTGTCATAGAGGACCTATGGGTGTACGTATAGAGGTAGGTGTATGATGTTCCCTTGTTGTGGAGACTTGGGTTGCTATTTAAGTTCACTTCAAGTGGACACCTTCCCTTCTTTCCCTCCAGTCATTCATTCACCGTACCTCAAAGAACAAGCCCGACATTTCGTTCATAGAATTCCAAACAACATCGTCGATTGCAGTGGAGTACGTAATCGGATAGGCAATGGGCATCCGTGCCTGTTGTGGTGATTCCTGGCTTGGGGCTCAATAGTCTCATGTCGTCTGCAACCTCATATTACCTCGATGGCAATTGATGCTTCCTTGTTGGGAACTTGAAGTTGTTGGCCTGGGCAAATGTTGGTTGTAGCGTGTAACTTTTGTAACTTTTTTTTGTTTCCCCGCCTCCCGTCCCAGCTCCTGCGAGATGTTAGCCGGCTCCACAAGACCGGACGGGAAAACCCCTCTTCTTCTCGTGGCATTATCAATTGGAAGATAATTGCTACCACACATGGGAAACACAGCAGGGCGGGGTAGCCAAAGCCGGGTGATACATCCCATTCATTTGTGAGGCGACAGCACCGACATGGCGAGATCGTGAAAAGAGTTACCTCATTGTTTGATGGCTTGACGGCTGAGAACTAGAGTGGTTTTCTGCCATTCGACATTTCTACAGACGCCCGCTGCGGAATCGACCAGTAGGTTGCCATCGGGTCAGGAATTGCGTTATAGGACTTTGTTGCAGTGTGGCCGGCTTACCACTCCATACCATTGAACATTCCTGGCAACAGGCAGATTAACACAAAAAAATCGAATCATCCAGACTCGTGACAGTGCCGCGGCGTTGGCACCTAGCATGGTATCTTCATGGGTCACAAGGCAGTGCGTGAGACTAACGAAGCTTCATTGGATGAGGCGAGGCCATGAGAAGGGGGGAAGAGAAAAAAAAAGTTGTGAGATTCAGCACCAGGATCGGACCTTCACAACTTCTTTTTTTTTGCTTGCCATCTCCCCTCCTGTTCCCGAATCCGTGAACATTGGGGTGTGGCAGTCTCGCATACCGTATAATCTCTCGAAATTGACTTTCGGGTAAACACTTTTCACGTATAGATACGTACAGATTTAAGCACATATTACAACATATATACCAACCGTACCCTCTATAAAGGAGGGTGGTTTCTAGCGCCCCACCTTCCAATCCCAAACTCTATAGTGCTCTAATTCTTATACCCTAACTTTCGTACCCTAATTCTTACCTATCTTCTAAATCCCTCCTCTTCTATACACAATAGAACTCGTCGTCGTCGTTCCTAATATTAAAATTCCATCACGTCATAGATCAAAAACCCCTACTAACGGTAGCTCCAACACCTCCAACACCCCCACCACGCTCTTCACAAAAGGATCGTGCTAACAAGAGGCCTAATCCCAAAGCGAAGCAATATAACAATAGGGTAATTAAGCGGACGGCCCTTATTAAAAAATTAGAGCGAAATTATTCCCGGGAATTTAAAATCTAAGTAAGAAATACAGTAAAAATTATTAGGCTAGCGAACTAACTATTAAGGATACAAATTATTACTTATATAGTATAAATAAAGCTACCTACTAAAATCGACTACTAACATCGACCCCTACTATAATAACGACGCCGAGGAACAATAATATTTAATAATACTTACCCTATCGATAACGGCTATTATAATATTTATAATTACAAAGTAGTTAAGTTTTACCGCGTTCCCGTCGCGAATATTAACCGTTAATAGAGGTTAAAGGAAAAAATCCTTCTTAATTCAATATGCAAGGGTATAGCTATATAGCTAGAAATAAAGGATAAACTATATAAAAAGTTCTAATTCACGCGTTAGGAGAATAGCTTAATCACTATAGTCTAGTTTCGCTGATATTCTATACTGCTTTTTAAAGAGGTTTACCCAGAGGAAGCACATAAAAAGGAATTCTACTTCTCTCGTAGCTAATTTAATAACTTCTTAAACCGCTTTTATATTACAAATCGAAGGATTATACACTAAACCTAAAAATTACCAGTTGAATTATATTTAAAAATGAACTCGTTTTTAAAGTAAATCCATTCTCTATATCCCTATTTTTTATACATAAATTTATTCGAAGAAACCTAATAATTATCGGAAAAGACTTAGAAATTATCGGGAAAAACTTAGAAATTATTAGAAGCTAATTAATTCGAGTTACAAATTTATTAAACGTAATAGCCAACCTATCGTACCTAATACAAATACTAAATTTCTTCCTTCTACTATTATAAACTTCGACGAAATCCCCCTCCTATTTAAATTTATTAATGGGTATACGTTTGAAATTAAAAGGAATAAAA